CATTATTAATAAGATGAAACTATCACTTATTTATTTAAAGAATAATAAATTTATCTCAATCTATGTATGAAAAATGGCAATTAAGTTTCAAAAATGTTAATCGTTTGATAATAATATATTTATATTAACTTATATGATCCATTTAATTCAAATATTTATCATATTTGAAGAAATTGCCAAAACTATATAATTATGATTAAAATAATAAAACTAATACTTTTACATTTTAATAAATTATTTTGTTTGTTTAATAATTAGCGAAGTTCCAGATGTAATTCATAATATTTAGGGTGTATATAATTGAATTACTAAACAGAAAATTAAAGATTTGTAAACCCATACGGTTTATATATAATTATAAAGTAAATTAAAAAAAAAATACATTAAAAATTTAAATTTGTACTATAAATATTAAATTGAAATTTTAAAAATTCCTTAAAGATATTATATTTCCAAATTTTTCTTTAAACTTAAACTATTGCCTATTTTAATAAAATGAATATTGATATGATTATTATTAATATTTTATATTCATTGATTCAATTTCTTTAAGCAAAATTCTAATTTAATAATTTAAGCATACCCTTTTAGTTTTTTGAATATTGGTTATTTGGATTAATCTCTAATGATTTCTCATTAATAAATTAAAGATTCTTTATATTTTTATTAATCTCTTAAACAATCTCCTAAAAATACAACTATATGAAACCTTTAGTTTAGAGAGAAAATAAATGTTGCGGATTAATTAACAGTGCTTAATCCAGTTATTATAAAGATTCATTATATTTTTTCATTAATCTTAAACATTCACCTATTAATATAATTATGATTCAATCTACCTTTTTAACTTAAGGAATTAACATGGTTAGTATCAATAGCTAATGCTTTGTCTAAACAAGTGATTGCATCTTCATATTTATTTAACAATCTTAAACATTAACCTATTAATCATCTATAATTTTACCTTTACACCATAGAGATAAATGGTTATTAGGATTATATTATAGTGATTTATCTAATATTTATATCGCCTCATCATATTTATCTCCCAAATATAAATCATAACCTAATGATTAATACAATATGATAACCTTTATGATATAATTCTTTGGATAATTTTATAGAGTTATCATCAATTTAATAATAATTAAATTATGATAATTATAATTTTTCTTATAATAATGATTTTGGATTGTTTTATATCCCTAATGTTAATATTAATTAAGTATTTTAAGAGATATATATGCAGAACTATTAAAAATAAATTTAAGGCTATTGTTTTAATTGAAGGAGGTTATTAATTTCAATTTCTCTTATCTAAAATTTTTCATATTTATAACCAAAATACTCAATTTATTTTCTCAATATTGATTAATCCCATGAATTAACTTTATCTAAGCCTTTTTATTTTATTATATATTTCTTTCTTTAAGATATTGGTATAACACTTTACACAATTTCTATTGATTTATAGAAAATTTTTTGAGAACATTACTAATTATCAATAAACTTAAATTAAATAATTAATTAGGAACTAAATTATAGTGATTTTATCAAAATCTCCTTTTTTGGATAAAAATATTATAAAAAAATATCATGAAGAAATTTAGAATTAAGAATGTGGTTGAACTAACTCATGAATAGCATTTCTGCTTGACCCACTTAAATCCTAAATTTTTCATCTTATAAACATTACCTCTATGTTCCGAATAAGTTTCCTTTATAATACCCTAATCAAATTGTATCTTAAAACTACTCTAATTAAGCATATTATTTAACTACTTTAATTCCTTTTTTTTTACACTTAAATAAATTTGCTGTTATACTTTACAACAAAGAAATATTTTTTTAATTTATAAATTGAATCCATTTGGTATATTTCCCTTTAATCTCATCAATTTATCAAGTTACAGAATAATGATGAATTAATCATTAATAACCAGCCTTCTTATATGATGGATCAGTCCAACTAATTGGTCTAAAAATAAAATTACAATATTGAGCTTTACTACTTCAACATTAATTATGTAACTCTTAAATCAATTATTTTTTAATGATAAAATGCAAAAATAGATTTTGTGGGGTGTGAGCTTTCTGCATGTTTAAACTAATTATTAATTATATTAGTCTTGTAGACAAGATTAAATTAGATTATAATTATAATTTTAGTAATGATTTTGTAATCAATTTTTCAATCACTTATTCATAAAAAGTAGCAAAAATCATTTTTATTATATTGTTTATCTATTACTGTTAAATTAGATGCAAGAGATAATTAAACAATATAGATGAGAACTAGATACAATTATAATTTATTTTATCTAACCAAAATAGAATAAATTTCTATTTGATGATTTTAAATGATAATGATATATTATTCTTATTTATTGGAATTTTTGGATTAGGCAATATATTAAAATCTTTTTAGAAATACAAGTAAAATTGAAGTATTTGCATAATATTAAGGATGTCTCTTATGGAAGAATTTCCAAATAGAGTGTGACTATATCTGATAACTCTCATTTATTAATAAATAATTCAATGTAAGAAGCATAATTGTAGTTTCAAATTGAGTTACTTTAAGTTTTTTTATCTTATGGAATAATCCTTTCTGTAATTAAATATTATTAAAATGAATTTAATCCTCTTTTGAAAATTCACATAGATTTGGAATATTTAAACAAAATTATCATTAAGTCCAGGTTCTATGAAATCTCTGTTGAAGAGTTCAAAGTTAAATACTTTAACTTCAGAACATCTGATTAATATTATTATGATTAAGTCTTTAGATAAGATGCTGTTCATGAGGATTTAACCTATCTAATAATTCATTTACTATTTAATGATAATATTAAATTTAGTTTATTAGATTATGGATTTCTTATATCTCCAATCTTTACAGGTCTTGAGTATTTTTATAATAAAAATTATTAGAGCAATGTAAATAAAAAAAATGAGAAAAAACATAAATAAATGGATCAAATTATTTTTAATAAATATATTTAAATAAAATAATTATTCAATTTACAGAAAGTCTATACACAAAATAACTTCCATAAGAACTTTCATTTTTCTTAACTTCTTTACAATCCCAAAAAACTAAAAATTATCCATCATTAGTAATCGTACCTTAAACTCTATTCCATTGACAACTAATAGATTTTACTATTTGGAACT